AAAACTATTTTATTTTAATATACTATAATAACTTATAATATACTTTTATATAACATATTATGTTTAATACTATAATTTATAGTAAACATTATTATTATAATGAATTCGTATTAAGTAACAGATTATGTTGTTTACGTGAAACCCAACCCCCAGAGCCCTGGATTTCTATAACGATCCCAATTGTAATTTAATGAACGGCACGGACGGCACCACAATGGGGTCGTTCCTATCGAGGGACTCCACTGTCTATATATTTCAAGGGGACGCGTGCAGGTCTGCCATTAACAATCACATCCCTATCCCATTGCTAATGACATTGAAATTCTGTAATTCAGATCATTTCACATCAAATATAAGAGCGACTCGTCTGTGAGGGGAATATCGACCTATCGGTTCGGTTTTCCCAAATCCATGTTCGCCTCCCCGGCCACTAATCCGGACAACAGGTGTTACTGTCGGACACCGCGTAACTACGATCGGTGCGACGGTATTTTAGACCTTGGTCCTTGTCAAAATGGTGCACCACTAGCCCTATCGTTCCCTCATTTACTTCACACCAGTCATGCCATACGAGATAGCATTGAAGGAATGGCACCTCTTATGGACAGACACGAGAGCTTCTTCGATATCGAACCGGTAGTCAAAAAGTTATTGATATTTCATACCATTCATAGAATAGTGAACTATACTTCCACTTACAGTATAATATAAAGCCTATGCAATAATAACTTACTATAAATATCATACTAGTATTCTCATAAATTATATTTAGCTATATCATGTTTACTATAATACCCGTTGTTTACTATGAAATAAAACCCAATTTATACAACAATCTAATATATATATAGTAAACAATTCCTTTAATGAACAGGTTATTGATATTTGTTTAATAGAGATTTGTGTTGAAAAACATAAACATTTCTTTGTTTACTATGAAATAAAACCCAATTTATACAACAATCTAATATATATATAGTAAACAATTCCTTTAATGAACAGGTTATTGATATTTGTTTAATAGAGATTTGTGTTGAAAAACATAAACATTTCGCTCATAATAGCAGACATTCACTCGTAATTTAATGAAACTTTCATACACTTCACAGACATTGGGTGCACCGCTTAGGGCTTCCGGTAAACTACAAGTGAATGTTTTGTTGAAACCAATTTCACTCATTCCGTAAGAATTAATAAATATTTACCTTATAATTGAGACTTTTTTGGGTTAACTTGTATTTATTACACCTCTCAGAGCCTTTCGTTATGTTAAGGAAGCGGTGGTGCCGTTGGTATGGCTCGACGAGGTAATTGAAACTCAATTATTAATTTATAATAAAATGCAGTTTTTGTTTCAAAAAATTACAATTTCAATTTAATTTATAAAATCTATTTTTGTTTGTTGACAGAGTAAGTTTCAAATATTAAAATTACACTCAATTTTGCATTAAAGTAGTTGTGCAACTAAAGTAATCGAAATTAATAATAGTTTGGAAAATGAAATTTCTAAATATTATATTACTTGTTGTGTTTATCTAGGAGTTATTCATTAATATTAAATAAAGAAAATGGAATATTATATAGTGTTCATGAAATGCAATATTCAGTAGTACAGTGTGTAAGCATTGAAACAAAAATAATAAAATATACTTCTTATAAAAATAACAGAATTCATTCAATTCAAATCTATAAACAAAGTTTTTTTAATTCAATTAACTAGAAAGTATTTATTATACATTCACAGAAAACATTACAATTCAAGCATAAACATCAGAATTGAATTTTTTAAAGATATAAATAGAAATTATAATTGAATTTTGTAGACATTTTACTGAAATAAGCAAATAGCACTATTCTTTCGGTGCATTTGACTACTGTACTGTATGATTATTTTTTATATAATATGTCTTAAATGTATGGGATTAATGATAAATTATTAAACAAGTCTAGACAGTCAATTTAATAAACTATATTTTTATAATCAATTTAAAGTTCGTTGAAATCGATGATAAAGTAGAGCTAATGATAAAAATGGCGACCATTCCGATGGCTATCGTGAATATGGGATCACTTATCGTTTCGTTAATCGGTGTGATAGTGATGGCCAGCGCTCTGGGATATGTACTCATTAACAGGAATAATGTAAACCATTTCCATGTAAACTATTTTCAATTAAGTGATGCATTTCTCTAATTACTTTTGCCATCAGTCGACAACACAAAGCATAGACCAGACAAATAGTGGACAACAAACTGATGACAAAGAATCGCAAACTAATGGCAACATTAATACGCCTAAAGAGCGCAAACAGAGTAGACCTGAGAATAGGGCAGTGAATAGTTTCGCTGATAATAGCGACAAACGACACATGAATAGCAAAAGCGAGACAAAAGTGTCAATCGATAGGCTCCACGTGGAAGTCGTGGAGAATCAGACGGCTTCCAAAATATCTGTACAACCGTCGGCTCCAGAGATCGATAGCAATAACAATGCAATGATTTTCACAATAAGTCATCCAAATAATGACATTCATAGAGATAATGAAATGCAAACACAAAGTCCCACAAAAGTCTCTGCCAAAAGTGGAAAACTCTCGTACAGTCTCAGGCGGGTATCCCCTCCCGGACCGGTTGAATAAAATTTAATTGTTATCTTTTCTATTATATAAGGTAATTGAATTTGAAATCAAGTATATTATATTACAGATGTAATAATGAACTCAATTATGATTGAGTTAATGAAATAAATGTCAGACAATAAAAAGAGTTCAGTGTTTGAACAGATTCTGCACTCAATTCAATTGAAGTCGGATTCAGTGCTCAATAAATTGTGAAATACTTTTGAAAACTTCATATTTATTTATATAATCATATGTTTGAACTCAATATTATTGTTTCACTTATAGTGTATAAACTATTTGTATTAAAATTATTATGTCATAGAATTTATTTTAATAAAATTATTATCAATTCAGGTGATCTTGCTTATTTAAGACAAAACACACTCGATATTATTTTGAATTTTAAATAAGTTATTAATTATTAAAATAAAATACAACCTTTGCAAAATTTATTACCTATTTATTTAATAATCACCTTAAATTCTTGGTAATTTTTTTTATTTTTAATGTTTTTATACTACAATGCTACAGAATCTGATATTGGCACACTACTGTATATACAGTTTATTTTTATTTGATATTTCAATGTAATATTTGTCAAAATTAATTATTATAAAATTATTGAATTTATATTTATCAAGCAAATAAAATCTTTTTATACATTGTTAACTTTTAAAAATAAATATTATACTTTAATTCTTTTACTGTACATAAAATTCAAGTGAAGTTGATAAGTACTAAGAGTATATTTAATTTTTGTGCCATTCATTAAATGGTATTATTGTACAAATAGTATGCATTGATCATTTATTTTCGAGACCATTTGGTAACTGATTAAATAGAAAATTTTAGTTCAATATGAATTGTATTCATTTATGATTTCAATGTTTTCAATTCTACTTTCTTATTCATTAGTAGTGAATAGATTTTCATATGATTTTTTATTTAATGAAATGAAATGAAAAAAATTCAGTTTTGAGAGCAAGATCACGATTGTATAGTATGTTATCGAAAAATTATGATAAAGTGTTTGCTAATTATATTAATTATGACTATTATTATGAATTGCGCACAAGGAGGTCAGTTTAATAACATATATTTTGTTTTATTATAACAAAACTTTAATTAATTTAAAATGTATTATAGAAATAACAGAAAGATCAGAGATTTTAAAGAAAAATAATAATAGGAATCGAAAGAATAATAATAACAATAATAATAATAATAATAATAATAACCGAAACAAATCTC